GAAATGACAAACAACAAGCGCTACTCTACACTGCTCAAAACTCGCGAAAAAAAGAATCGTCAGTGGAAAATTCTTTATATATAAAAAACGTACTTACAGTCTTTGAGTCAGAACAGCCAGCATTGTAGTCTACTCTCCCAGGATCAGGAAACAGTCCTCCATAAAATGTGCTGCACACATCTGAACCTTAGCAACACCCTGCCATCATGATGAAGAGTTTTGCATGGACAAACACTGCTCAGGCTTTTTAGAAAATGTAAAAAAAAAATTAGTTAGGATTTAGTTTCGTATGTTGGATGCACCTGTTGCTGAAGTGATAATAGACATAAAAACAGCCTGAAAATGGATTGCTTTCTGCCCTCTTGATCGCACAGTGACTACACAGAAGTGGCAACAACACATATGAGAGTCACATCTCAACAAACCCCTGAAGCCCTACTATCAGTTTGCCATGTTTCCACGGAAACCTTCCCCGAGATAGGCGGCCAGGAAATTAAAAAGCCCCACAAGAAAACAGTGCATTTCCACGAGATAAAACAGGATATGTTTGAGCAATGATATGAGCTAAGAGAAATGACACAGGGCCACAACAGGAAGAGCGTACGGGGGGAAATATAACAGGTGTTATGTCTCTCACCTGACGGTGACCAGCCTGATCTTGATTTTTTTGTTGTTCCTCCTTGCAGATGTCCTGAATGACGCAATCTTTGATGAAGACCATGATGAGATGGTGATCGTGAAGGATATTGACATGTTTTCCATGTGTGAACACCATTTAGTTCCCATTTTTGGGCGGGTAAGAATAATCGTTTTACCCTCATTATCAACGACATTCACATGTCACCTTTGCAGTACAGTTTTTATGACCATATTTGAGAGACAAAACTTCTATGGTGTTAATGTAGTTTTAAAAAGCAATTAGTCACACCACTACCTTATTGTATAAGGGTTTAAAAAAGTCTTTTTTCTTAATTTAAAATTTATTAATTTTTATTCAAGTTTAAAATTGAATTGTATTATTAATTTATTAAAATAAAATATTACAGTTTAACACATATTTTTGAATTAATACATTTTTAAATTTAAATTGTTTTTATTTTTTAAATGCATGTATTATTTCATTTTATTTTATTATTGGTATATTGTTTCATTTATTTATTATTTATTTACTATCCAGGTCATACCCCAAACTCAAAAGTACAATATATATAGAAATTATAGAATGATTAAAATTATTATTCATATAAAATTATTATTAAGATGAAAGTAAGCCTATATTTGGGACTGTACATTTTTCGCGTTGTTACATAACTTTTATGAAATGTAATGCAAAAAATCAGCAAAACACCCCATTCTCATTACTATAATGTGGTGGTATATTATTGAAATTCATATTTTTAAAGTATCGCTGCTCAAATAAGTAGTGTTTTAAGTCAGTGTATGCTGACTTTAATCAGGATGATTTTAATTGATGAATTACAACAATGTAAATGTGCTTAAATTGTCGAAAATGTGCTTAATTAAAATGAAAATGAGATAAAAAAAAAAAAGTCTTTCTTTTTTTAAGTAAATATGTTTTGTAATTGTGGGGTGAAATATTCCTTGTACATTTCTTTGTGAGATTTACTCGCATAATAGCAGCTGTTTTCTGATGCACCTGGAAAAAAAAGAAAGTTGATATGTAACCTGTCAATAACCAAGTTAATTAGCTATAATTAAATCTAGAAGGTAACAAGGACAAGTTGGAAGTCTGTTGGGTCTGAGTTCCACTCAAAAACAATGCCCACTCTTAATCCTCCAGGTTGACATTTAGTACCTCCCTCCAGCTCATAGCACTGCAGGTGTCTGCCATTTAAGACAAAAGAGACACCGTCGATCCTGTCACGCCACAAATGGCTGCTGATGATAGACTGAGCCATTGATCAAGCACACTGAATGTTTTTTCTGCCATTGCAATTTTGTTTGTCAGATGTTGTTGGAGGGCCATCGTTTCCGCTGCATCCCCTGCTGATAGCTCCCTGTCGTCATCGGCGCGGCCCCTTATCCCTTCTCATCTATTTACCTCGCCACTCGCCGCATCTGCAACAAGATAATGACTCACCAATTTCTTTCAGAGAGGCGTGTGCCAGTTCTCTTTCATTTTTGGCCCTCTTGCTTGCGCTTCAGCGTCCACCGTCTCCATGATTGTCCACACAACACTCTTAGTGTCCATCACGAACACTGAGTCGATAAGGTGTGCTTTCTTTTACACTTGAAACATATCTTCCCTGCAGCCACCGCATGTCTTGCCTGTTGGTCTAAAATGGATTAAGTTGCCAAAAGCGCTTTGCTCATTTCCCAGGTGCTCTGTAGTTGTCGGTAAAGCTCGATTGATGCTTTTAAAGGATGTCGAGTGGAGTTTGGCGGCCCTGAAAGAAGGCCAAGAGGGTTCAGTGACGTGCAGGATTATCGCATCAGAACAGAGAGCAGAAGAGGGAAAAAAGAAAATCCTCGCATGTCTGTTGATGCTGCCCTTTCTCTGGGCTGTTTCATCAAATTGTTGGTGACATTTGAGTTGGACGGTGGAGAGGAGGTTAGGTTGGGGGGCTGTCAGATGTGCAGTCACTTCCGAGCATACGCACAGATACAGCTCTCTGCATCTTTAACTTCCCGTCTAGTGCTTCGATTATGGCAAAAATCATAATTATGATTATTTTGGGTAATATAGTAATCATGGTTATTTATTGTAATACGTTTAGGAGTGGGCAATATGGCGAAAATGCTATAGGAGTTATTTTGCAATAGTGATGTTTATTGTATTTTTTATATAAAAACTACTGCAGAAATTGAATAATCAAATGCAAAATAATACAGTACGTTGATTCTTTTTAAAGCTACTATCCACCTTATTTTTCAACGCGGAAGTAAGCCGTTTTCTGTGAATGTGCGAGACGTCTGGTTCATTAGCCGCTGTAGGGAAATAACGAGAGGAATAACAAAGTGCAGTAAGGTAAAACTGTTTGCACTACAAACCAGTATGTTCATAATTAAAATAATATGGTAAGACACACCAGTTTGCAATAGCAAGCAGCAAAACGAGCTGATTTGTATAGCTAAAAATAGCTGGAAGCTGGAAGCTGGCCCGCTCTTACGGGAAAAATAAGGTGGATAGCTAATCAGTCAAGAGCAGTGAGTGATTTTTTTTATTATTTTTAGTCTTTTTAGTTATTTTTTGTCTTTATTTTCTGTTCTTGTTTATTTCCAGCAGGTGTATAATATGGTAACAGTTTGCAATAGCAAGCAGCAAAACGAGCTGATTTGTATAGCTAAAAATAGCTGGAAGCTGGAAGCTGGCCCGCTCTTACGGGAAAAATAAGGTGGATAGCTAATCAGTCAAGAGCAGTGAGTGATTTTTTTTATTATTTTTAGTCTTTTTAGTTATTTTTTGTCTTTATTTTCTGTTCTTGTTTATTTCCAGCAGGTGTATTAGGCTGCTATCACTTTATGACCTAATGCTTATATATACACATACATACATACATACATACTTATATCAGTTTCTGTGAAGATATGTGCATTCCTACCAGGACTCATTTAACCTACAACAACGACAAACCATGGTTCATATGTTTATGATTGTATGTTTATATGTTTACATAACTGACTGTATTTTAACTGTGAATACTCAACAATACGTGCATTTTGACATATTTTTGTGTGTATTTAAACATTTAGTCACACACCTGAAGCCCAAAGTATAAACTCTTGACCGTTTTTTGCTCCAACTCAGAGAATGCACACAAAAAACCTATTTTTCGCAGTTTTGTATTTTTTTTTATATCAAGCATGTTATGTAGTAGACTGCATATTATGACAGTCATATTACATGATTTAACTGATTTGGACATTCCGTTTGGGAAAGCGCACTACTTTAAAGGAATGGAATGTGGCTCAATAACCATTTTATTTCAATTATCATGCTTTCATAATCTTTGGAAGCCAAAATTTAAATCAAAACTAACATTTTCACAGCCCTCATGCCATGTAGCTTGCTAGTGCTGGTGTCCAGTTTGTTGAAAACTAGCTGTGAAATTGTTGTGCATATAACTCTCATGTTTTGTTGTTCTGTCTTTCTGTTGTCAGTTAATGTGTTGTGTTTTTCACAGGTGCATATAGGTTACCTTCCAAACAAGAGGGTTCTTGGTCTGAGTAAGTTAGCAAGGTAGGCAAAATGCACCCAGGTTTCTCATATACATATATATATATATTTTTTTTCACAAACAGTGGCCCCAAAAAGTATCTGGATGCTTAAATCACTTCCATCTTTTCCCAGTCCATCTGAATGTCATTGTATTAGATAACAAAAACTACATCACATTAACTATGGATATGTTCTACTAACGTTTCACCACCAGAAAGTGTCCAAATAATTTTTGCCTTTATTCTTTTTAACGGTACATTTTATAAACATTTTTAAATCATATTTTTCAATTTTATTTCCCATTAAAAATTGTATATGGGGTCAGTATTCTTTTTTTTTTTTGAAAGGAAGAAATTAATATATTTTTTATTCCAATACAAAGCCGTTATTTTAAATTATAATAGTATTTGACAATATTACTGTTTTACTGTATTTGTGATCAAATAAATGCAGTTTTTTTCTTTTGTAAAATCCTTTAAAATACATTTTAGATTTTGTTAGGCTATATAATGAGGTGAATTTATGTTTTTATGATGCAGTATTTAATCTTAATGGATTCCTTCATGAGCGTGCAAATTTATCCTGCCACAAAGCAGCGTGTGTTTTTTTTGTTTTTTTTTGCTTTTCCTCGAGTAAAAAGGATTAATGGCTCTCTTCCCCTCAGGGGTGTTGTTTGTCTGTGACATCAAGATGCACGCCTGGTGTGTGTGTGTGTGTGTGTGTGTGTGTGTTTGAAGCAGTGAGAGTGTAAGTGTCTGTAAGAGGATTAGACACAATGTGTGAGTGACAAAGAGAAGCTTGATCCAATCTGACCCCAATACCTGTGGCCTAGCCATTTCACTATGTTCCAAGCGTAACACGGCATTCCACTAATGAAGACATGACAACAGCAGTCACGTACTGTAGCTCTCAGTAGTACCACACACACAGGCGGATTTCTGATTTCTAAAATTAGTTACCGTTTCATTTTTTTATGGCTGTAGTCATGACAAGGGACTGACTCTTCTAGTTGTCATTGTTGCCATGTAGTGTAGCGGATCACTGCTGGTCAAATGATCAGTCATGAAACACATGAGTGTGATATTAAGTTATATTTGATGTCCCAGCAGTGAAAATGATTTATTGTGTTTGTTCTGTTCTAATATTGTTCTGAATATTGAATAGTTGAATAAATATACTGTGAAAAAATGGAATGTGAATGATAATCTAAGGAGATTCTTATGCAATTTAGTTTGCCATATCCCCACTCTGGAGTTTTAAATTCACATGCAATTTAATAAATATGATTAATTAAAAATGACTTTAAATACAAATGATATATTATATAATATTATATATACTACCATTTAAAAGTTTGGAGTCTGTAAGATTTTCTGTTTTTGAAAAAAATATCTTATGCTCAACAAGGCTGCATTTATTTTATTAAAAAACAGTAATATTGTGAAATATTATTAGTCTAAAATAACCATTTTTATTTCCTTTAAATTGTAAATTTTCTCTGTGATGGAAGAGCTGAATTTCTTACTACGTATTTCTTATCGATGTTGAAAACAGTCGTGCTGCTTAATATTTTTTTGAAAACCGTGATACATTTGATTTTTTTTAGCATTCTTTGATAAATAGAAAGTTCAACAGAACAGCATTTTTTAAATAAGAATCTTTTGTATCACTATTAAAGTCTTTACTGTAAGCTTGAATTGATTGATTTAATTGGCTGAATAAAATAATTTCTTACTGACCCCATACTTCAGAATGGTAGTGTATTTTAATTATTATATTACAGATATTGATATATTTTCTATAAATACACATATTATTAAATAAGAACTTAAATGAATATTTTCAGTTAGCAAGTGTCCTAATTGAAAGTGTGCTTTTTTGTTAGTTTACATTTAGTGTTTTTGAATAAAATATATTAATTTGTAGTAAATATACTCCTGGCCCAGGTTTTATATCATTACCACCAACGACTAAAATCCCAGAGCAATAAAGTCTTATCAAACCACCATAACATAACATATGAAGGTATATTGTGTATAAATCTAGCTTGTTTTTTGTTTTGCACCAGGATTGTTGAGATATACAGCAGGAGATTGCAAGGTAATGGTCTTTTTTCCTCAAACAAACAGTAGCATGTAATGATATTTATATTCCTTCAGAATCCTTATTTGTTTCATTGATAACTTGAAAAGTTCAGATTGAAATGTTCTCAGTAGTTCTGCCGGTTGCATAAACCGCTTAGACTAGACTTAAAAAGTTAGTCATCTAATTTTTTCTCTTTAAGACTGGTCATAATTTCTTAAAGTCAGTTATAAAAAGGGAGAATGGTCTCATTTTAATCCAAAAGGTAAGTCTGATTACCTCTTGGCTAACAACTAGTTGGTCAAACTAGTTCTTAAGACACAGTCTTAACACAGTGGCTATGTTTATGCAACTGGCCCCTGGTCTGCTTGTCTTATTTCAGTTCAAGAGCGTCTAACCAAACAGATTGCAGTCGCCATCACTGAAGCTTTACAGCCTGCTGGTGTCGGGGTGGTCATTGAAGCAACGTATGTAAAAATTCAGGTTCAACTTTATTTACAATGTAATAACAAGAATGACCAAATATGATCACAAGTGCAATTTTATACATATTTTATGTTACAACGTAATGCTAAGAAAGACCAAATATCAAGATTTATTTCTTTTCCTTACTGTTGTCCAGTCACAAGTGAAATTTTTATTTAATTTTATTTCATTTTATTTTACAATGTAATGTTAAGAAAGCCCAAATATCAAGATTTATTTATTTTCTTTACTGAAAAAGTCACAAAGTCAAAGTTTTTTTTCCAAATTTTGTTTTACAGTGTAAAAGGTATGAACAATCCTCGAGTTATTTTATTTAATTTAATTTTGCAATGTAATAAGTACGAACAGTTCTCACAATTTATTTTATTTTTTTGCAATGTAACAAGTATGAGCAATCCTCAAGATTTTATATTTTATTTTATATTTATTAATTTATTTTATGTTATAATGTAATAATTATGAACAATCCTCAAGATTGTTTTCTTTTCTTCTTTTCTTTTTGTTTTATTTTGCAATGTAATAAGTATGAGCAATCCTCAAGATTTTATATTTTATTTTATTTTAATTTTTTATTTTATAATGTAATAATTATGAACAATCTTCAAGATTTTTTTCTTTTCTTTTTTCTTTTTGTTTACGTTTTATTTTACAATGTAATAAGTATGAACAATCCTCAAGTTATTTTTTATTTTAATTTTGTATTTTATAATGTAATAATTATGAACAATCTTCAAGATTTTTTTCTTTTCTTTTTTCTTTTTGTTTACGTTTTATTTTACAATGTAATAAGTATGAACAATCCTCAAGTTATTTTATTAAATTTTATTTTGCAATGTAAAAAGTATGATCAATCCTCACAATTTATTTTATTTTATTTTACAATGTAATAAGTATGAGCAATCCTCAAGATTTTATTTTATATACAATGTAATGCTAAGAAGATGCTAAATGCTAAGACCAAATATCAGTATTAAATTTTCTTTACCATTGTCCAGTCACAAGTAAAATATAATTTTTTTTTAAATAATGTAATAAGTATGAACAATCCATTTCTTTATTTTATTTTACAATGTAATCAGAATGTCCAATCCTCAAGATATATTTAGTCTCTTTGCTGTTCTCCAGTCACATGTGTATGGTTATGCGAGGCGTCCAGAAGATGAACAGCAAGACTGTGACCAGCACCATGCTGGGTGTTTTCCGCGAGGACCCCAAGACACGAGACGAGTTCCTGACCCTGATCCGGAGCTGAGAGAGTCCCTGATCGCTCTCCACTGCCAAAACTCTCTGACCAGCCCTCTTCTCAATCGCCTCCCTGGATCGAAGGAGTCTTCTCTGGTTCTGCCTCCGGACGAGGCACTGCTGCTGTGTAACATAGTGTCCCACCCGCCTCTGGGATGGTCACATCGGTAACAACGTCTCTTCTGTATCACGTGTGTGTGTGTTGTGCACGTTTAGTCAGTAGAGCTGTGGGAGCCTCTATTGACGGGACTGTGGCTATTACTGTTACATGGAAGCACTGTGTTTTAAAGGACGTCCTAGATTAGCACAATTTGACCTCACTAAACTGACAAGCACCAAACCCACCGCAATTTGTTTACATCTCTTTCCGGTTGGGTCACATTTGCGCTCTATTAAACGCAATTGAGCTGCCTGAGATGCGCTTCTGAACAGGGAGGTACGTGTCATTCTGAGTATTCAGTTTTTACTGTTTACTGGCGAGGTACTGAATGACCACTAAATGATTTCCAATATTTATACACCTTGATATTTACAAGGTACTTCAAAGATGATCATGGTAGTATAATGGTACATGTCCAAAAAGAGCATAGTATTACAAAGCACCACTTTTTATAAGTGAATACATCCAGACCAGTTTTATTGTTGTTTTACTATGTGTTGAACATG